TATTTGAAGTCAGGACATTAGTGCCAGGGTGAGGAAAGGGAATGTAATAGTTTTACATTTTTACAAAGCGGCCTGACAGATCTATATCAAAGGGAAAATGTCCAAGAGACAGAGTGATGGGGTAATAGGAAGTGGAATTAAAACCTGGCTTCCAGGGAGACAAAAAGCAATGATAACTTGCAGTGCTTCCAAGGTAATTTGGAGGTGACGTGTGGGGGTGGGGAGCATGCAAGGACAAAGACGACTCCTCCATTAGGAGACGTATGTCTGCTTTCTTGAAAACAAACAAAGATTCCCTGCAGAATGCCAAGGGAAGACTCACAGCTCTTCCTGAACCAATTACTTAGAATAGAGAGTTCTTCTAGGGGACTTCAAACAAATTAACTAAGTTGATGTGAATGGGTCTCCTTCTCCAAACAAAGATAGACATTCTGGATAAAATATGAGCCCCAAAATACATAAATGAGTTTCAAATGCAGAAACAGAAATACACAGGTGCTTTGAGAGAGAGGGAGAGAGAGAGGGAGAGGGAGATATTGATTGATTTCATAGAACAGGAAGTGTGAGCTAATCCCATAGCCTTCCAGTAGAGTTGTGCTCCTAATGTGGGTCCTAGGACCATGACAAGGATCCCAAGGGGCAGGGAAGCTGGAACCAACCAGGCCTCCTAGATTAGTTCACAAGCTCCAAAGAACATCAATAGGAAAAAGTCTACTTAAAAAATCACCTGCTAAATGGCCCCCAGTTAACCATCTGGCCAGACCATTAACGGTTCATTACGTTTGCAAACCTCCTAATGCCACTCTCTTGGCAAGTAGGTAATTCCTTGGTATGCCCATATACTTCTGCTTTCACTAGTTGCTATGCTTACCAAGAATCAATATTGGTTCTTAAACCTGTCACTGCCTGAGTACTTGGAATTGTAACTCCACGATTCAATTAAATATAAGAAAACTGAAGGAATGTGAGCATGCGAAGAGAGGGATTTACTGTTTCTATAGAAACAGCTTGAATTCTTTGAAAAGACTCAACAAAGGTGAGTTTCTAAAAATATTGCTAACAAATTAGGTATGAATTACAACACTACAAGTCCTTTAAAGGAAGTAGCATCAAAGATCATACATTATGTGTGTCATAAAATTCCAATGGCTGACAAATGATGGATATTTGACACATTTTAAGCTAAAATAAATATTTAAGATATTTATAGCCCAGTCAGGCATGGCTCAGCGGTTAAGCATCGACCTATGAACCAGGAGATTGTGGTTTGATTCCTGGTCAGGACACGTGCCTGGGTTGTGGGCTTGATCCCCAGTCAGAGGTGTGCAGGAGGCAGCTGATCAATGACAACTCTCTCATCATTGATGTTTCTAATTCTCTCTCTCTCTCTCTGAAATCAATAAAGACATATATATTTTTAAAAACATATTTATATATTTTTAAATTCCCTACATTAATTCATGATGAAAATCCTAATTTTAGTAAATTTTAAAAATAGTCATGGTTGAATCAGTTTTTAAATGAAAGTCAGTGGACTGTATTGTACTAAATAGATTACTGACTTGGAAAGCTCATTCAAATATCTTAGGTTGTTTTTAAGTCCATAAAATGAGGAGAGTAAACAGGATAACTCCTAAGGATGTGCCCATCGGTGTGTTCCACATAGTTATTATTCTACTACAGGAGCTAGCCTGTTTGGAAAACTATTGAGACCCAGATTAAATTTAAGTGAAGACCCCAGTCCTCTTGGCAAAGGAACTTGCTTCCCTTTGGTTGTCAGGAGACACAGCCCTGCAAACAACAGAGAAGTTATAAAAGATATTCAAGCAAATGAAAGGACAAACTGAAACGCACTAATCCAAGAAATGCAACGTTAAGGCTGAAATCCTAGCCTGGTCCAGCATTAAGTAAGCTTTTTGTCTTTTCCTTCCACTTCAACAGTGCCAATTAGGAATAGAGTGTCAACTGAGAGAGGTGCATAATAGAAAATGCTGAAAAAATCTTAACTCTAGCAGCCAGGAGAGAGCAGCTTTAATAAGGTGTCTGAAAGCAAAGGAATTCTTTAAGGAATGGGGAGAAAGGGAAGTTACTAAGCACAATAAGACGAGCTGAAGGTAGGGGTGCCAAGCCTGTTAAGGGAGTCCTGAAGCAGACAGAGAGCTGAATCAAATCATGCTCTAAGCAAGGTCCCTTCTCTTGTTTTAGACCCCACTCCACCCCCACCTGGCACACTCCTGCTCACTCCTGGCTGAACTCTGTGACCTAGGGTAGGACAGTGAGACTGTGAGTCTGTCCCCTGGCCCTTCCCTACGGCTTTGCCCTGTCTGCACGTAGAATAAATGTCCATGTGATAGAGAAATTTTAAAATAAAGTCATATTTAATGTAGTGCCTTCTAAAGTCTCTTCAGTATGAGTCAGGTCAAAATAAATAAAGAAGGCATTTGAAGTAAAACATCAAACCAAAAGAAACTGTGAATGATATTATACTATATGATCACCCTGAAATTTAGTGGAACTCCTCCCTGATCCTACTTTGGGGACTTGTCTTTTACTTTTTATTTTGGAAATTTTTTTAAAAACCAAAAGTATAGAGAATAGAAAAATGAGCCCCAATGAAGCCATTACCCGCTTTAATAATTATCAGTACATGGCCAATCTTTTCGCTTCATACCTTACTGCTTTCCCCTGTCCTCCACCATACTACTTTAAAACAAATCTACACATCAAATTATTTCACCCATTAAGTATTTTGGTATGTATCTCTTAGAGACACCTGTATTTCTTAACATCACCACAATATTACTATCATACCTCAAAAGATGACAATAATTCCTTAATCATAAAATATTCAGTCCAAGTTTAAATTCTTTGAGGTATTTTTAAAACCATAATGGTCATGCCACAGACAGAGGACAAGCTGAGAGCATTACCAACGGATGCTAAAGAATACTAGTAGTAGTAGTAGTAAAATAAAATAAAACAACCAATTGTGATTGTGTGATTGAGACACACACAATCACATCAAAATACTTCCTAAGCCAAGAGCCTGAAGTTGGCAGCCAGGCAACACCACCTCCTGCCTGCCTCCTCTTATACATATCCTCAGTCCCTCAACTCGGGTTTATTCTACCATGGCTTATCTTTTCCTTTGAGGACACTGCATATGATACTTATTTTACAGCCAGTTGCATAAAAAGAACTGAAGGGAATTATTCATTCCCACAGCACTATAGCAAGGCTTAGATTCTGTGGCACAGAAAGGCTGATATTAAACAATCACAGAGCACTAACTAGGGCTGCTTGAAAGGGCCAGTTTGCACAAATGATGGTGAACCTGTCAAGAAATGAAGATGAAAGGACGACTTTGTGAATGGGTAATGTTGAAGAAAATGGGCTCTTGAGTTGGACTGTCTGGGTTCTAATCCCAACTCTCAGCTTGCATGCTGGGTAACCTTAAATAAACTGCTTATTTTATTTGTACCTTGGTTTCCTCAAATGTTAAGTGAGATCAATAATGGGATCTATTTCAGAGCTTGATTTTGAAAATGTAAAGGGATAATGCATTAAAAATATCTGGATGAGCCTGACTGGGTGTGGCTCAGCAGTTGAGCATCAACCTAGGATCCAGGAGATCGCGGTTCTATTCCTGGTCAGGGCACATGCCCGGGTTGTGGGCTCGATCCCCAGTAGGAGGCGTGCATTGACTCTCTCTAATCAGTGATGTTTCTCTCTCTCTCCCTCTCTCTTCCTCTCTCTGAAATCAATGAAGATATATATGTATTTTTTAAAGTATGTGGATGATCAAGTGCCCACAATACAGGACTTTTAGTGCTAAAACTGGGACAGTACCAGGCAAACTGGGATGGCTGGTCACTCTATAAAAGAGCATCTGGTACACAGAAAGAACTCAATAAATATTAACACTTGCCAGTCGTAATAGCAATTGAGGTAGAAGTAGTGTTTTAGTTCCTAATCAAAGGAGATGATCGTAGCCTATTTCCCAAACTATTCCAAAACAGAATTTACTCTATAGCTAGTGATCTCCCCAAATCTGGAAGTATTCAAACACAATGAAAGGGAATGCATGTCCAATTTAGTGGACTTGATCCATGGTTCCAAAACCTAACTGGATAAACAGACTTTCCTAAGGAGTTTCCTTAAAATGAGCACCTGCCTGGGTCGTTTGAATTAATATATTTTATTGGGGACATGGGGATCTATATCCTTGTTAAAGTTCCTTGGTTGATTCCAAACAGCAGCCAGCTTAATTACTTCCGAAATTTCTTCTAACCCTGAAGTTTTATGTTTCCAAAAATGTCTACAATTCTGTTCCAAATCCAAAAATACGTAGATTCCCAGGAGGACCAACCATCTAAGTCTTAAAACCTCCCCCAAAATGAACTAAACCTTACCCAAATGTTTTGGGGATGTTTTATAGGTTTTGAGGTGGGTTGTTGCTTAGGGGGTCTATTTTTTTAATTAGGTAAAGTGAAAAATCACACCATCTTCTTTGAGCCTCTGGTGGATTTATACAAGGCGATTCAATCATATCAGAAAAAATGAGTAACTGGCTGCCTGATTCCTCTGACAAGTGACACAACTCCGTCCTGTTATCAAGCCTGTAGCAAGAGACTGGCTGTGACACTGGAGACAGAGGCGAATGTTTCAGGAGCTCTCGTGCCCTCAGGGAAAGGGAAGGTGTAAGTGATTTATACCAGGTCACACAGCGAGCCAGGGGGCGAGCCAGAAATAGGATCTGCACCTCCCCCTGGGCAGCCCATGGTCCATGTGGCACACCCTGAGGATACAGAAGCGCCCCTCTGCTGAGCAAAGAAGCAGACAGAGGGACTTCCATTTAGAGGTTCATAAGTGCTACTCTGAAAAAAGGAAGAAAATCCCCTGTTCATGCTCAATCAAGTCCAAACCAAGGTGAGGGAATGAGGAAATGTTATTTATTTTTGTAAGATGAAAGACCAGTGTATACTTACTCACTTCCTGTCAGCAGCACAGAAGGGCTTGTTTTCCCAATCATTCTTCATGCCTGGTCTCACACAGTGCTGCTTGGAAGGCAAGAAGATAAGGGGTGATTCCTAGAGCTGGCCTAGAGAAAAAGAGATTTTCCATTTTCTTTACAAAACCATATAGTATTTGAGTTGATTAGATTTCTGAGTGTGTGACTCAATGCAGAAACTTCAAAGTATAACAAGGTAAGTATTAAATGTCACTGGAGGGCCTGGGGAAAAAAAAGATAATTTCTTTTACCCAAAATCTTAACCTATTCCTAAGAAATAATTCAATCTGTTTAGGCTGAAAGTGTTTGGATATAGTTACATATTTCTTTTTAAAGTATTTTCATCTTTTTCACTTCTAGCCTTCTGACACGTGGTGAGCTGATTCCTCAAGGGTAAGCGTCAAGCCTACCTCTGCATGCATGCGCACACGTGCACACACACTCACACACACACACACACACACAGCCTCCTAATACCCCCTATAGTGTTCCACACTCAGGGTACTCGATTAATATTTTGGAATTATTCAATTATAGAAATAAATAAATGCATTCAATAACCTATATAATTATCTATATTTTTAAAAATTCTGGATTGTATGACAATAAACAGGTATTTTGAACTAAGGGCATGAGTAGAAGAAGGAAACATCCATTTATTTACTTTTTATACCTCAAAAACTGGATAAAACAATGGTTTTTGAGGTATTGATTTTTTTTTTATGTTTTTCTATATTTTTAACATGTACATAATGGACATCTGTTTTCATAATCCAAAAAATAAATAAACGTATACAAAGCTGGCAAGTATGAATCAAAGCCTATAAACATAAGTGTATAATAAATAGCACTTTATTTTTTATGACTAAACTTACATTCTGAGTCCAAGGCCCTTTTTCACTGGGCAGGTGAAAACCTCAGCCCTGTCTCTGGTGCAAAGAAAATGCGGAAGGTGAGGGGCAACCAGTCCACACCAGTTGGACCTACACTTATTCCTTATAGCACAGTAGCGACCACCTTCACCAAGTCAGGGTTGATCCCTGAAGATGGAGTTGTGACTCTAAGGGTAGGGAAGTGGAAAAGATGAAGCGGGACTTGGTATGGTTTGGGTAGGAAAAGAAAGGACACCAGAAAGAGAAACCCCCAAGCTCCCATCCTAAGCTTATCCATGGAAACAATCCTGTTTTAGATGACTACGAACACACAAAGTCCTGACGATGGTATAAAGGATGTTTGATCTTTTCCTCTGAGTCGTTTTTCCTTCCACATGGGAATCCCTTCAGAAGAAATTCCAGGAATTCCTGCTTTGGTTGGATCCCTCCCATTTCCCTCAACTCCCCAGCATCTACCTTTGTCTCATTTTCATCTTGGAGATATTTTACGTATTTGAAACCATGAAATATAATCAAGGCTCTGTCTTTGTTGGGTAGAGGAAGAACCCTAAAGTTCACAGAAGTTGAAAAAGATCTTTTTTAGCATTGAAGGAGACATCTTTATCTTGCTAATATTGACTGTCTTTTATATCTCCGCTTAGATGCCCCTTAGGCAAAGTCACTGTTTGTTTACTGTCATTAACAAAGCCCTCCTTCCCACCCAGAAGCAGCAGAAGAAAAATCCCATCCTGTCACCTACAGGCAGAAAGGAGATGGAAGATAGGGGAGCTAGTTGCCCCCTCTGTACTCAGTGATTTCAAAAACTGGTTGATTAGCATATTAGCATGTCCTCAAGAAGTTCACAGTCTAGTGGAAAAGACAAACACCACTACCTTGCTACAATCTGAGTACTCTCTAAAAAGAATTTTTAAATTGCAGTGCGTTTACAATTAAAATTAAAATTATAGCTTAAGACTGAATGCAGTTTATTTCTGCCTGAAGGTATCTGAAAAGACTTCATAAAAAAGTGACATTTCAAACAAGCCTTCAAGCATGACAGAGGTGGGCAAGTAAAGACAGTGGGATGGCAAACTATATGGGAAAAGCATGTAAGGTTGAAACCACATGACGTGTTTACAGCCTTTCAAGTACAGCGGTGGGTCTAGAATACAGTGGTGATCAGAGAGAGGAATGACCACATGGAAAGATAGGTTGTGACCAGATTTTACATAAGTGATCCCTGTACAATTGGGCAATTCTGACATCTTATAAAATACCCATCATAAAAGACTTGTCTGATCCTAGAGATACCTGGAGCTAAGATATGAACTGCAATTATATCTCAAAGTCACAGAGCAAAGAAATAAGTATGAATACGTACCTAAACTGCTCGCCTGCATTCTGGTCTATTAAAGAACACACTATCTCGTATTATTAGCCCCTCGTTCTGTATTTTTCCCATAAAAGCTTAGGAACTTTGTGGTCCTCTCACTAAGCTGAAGAATGTTTTTCCACCTCACCCTCCAACTCCTCTCAAGCCAGCTATCCCTCCTCTAATGGACGAGTTTAAATTCAACATCCATATCCTTATTAGAAAAGGTAGAAATGGGACCTTTCATTTTTACTTTTCCCCTCAATTTGCTAGTGATGAGATTGGAAGAAACTGCCCCTACAATAGATATTGATGCCTCCTCTTTCCTTTATATTCAGTTTCTAACAATTGTAGTCAAAACCCAATAGCCAGAAAGTGAGGACTGGAATAGCCAAGGATCCAGCTGTATGAATGTTTATGCCTGTTCAATATCTGATATTCTTCCTTCTTTCTGAGATAATGGAATGTTTGCTCAAAAAATCAATAAGCTTTTGTGAAGGGAAAAAGCTAAATACGTTACAGAGTTAGGTACTAACTGGAGGGGGCAAGCTGATGTTGATGGCAAGGTTCTCTCAAGAAACAGAGTGTTTCTCATAAAATCCAACCATTGTTAGTTTCTTATAAGCATTTGTGTTTGTGTGCTATAAGCATGACTTTTAAATTTAGGGTTACAGAAACTATTTTTTCATTAGTTTGTATATCTGGGGTTTTTTTTCATGAGTTTATTACTTTATCTCTGTGTCCTAATCTCTATTTGAACCTTTCTTGGACAAAGTAGGGAGAATATGAAGGAAGCTACATGTTGCTTTGGTAACTCAACCTTCCTGACATTTCCACAATTGATTTAACCTTGGATCAATGACATTTTCAGCTAATTGTTGTTGTAAGTGGAATTAACTTGCCCAGGTATGGGAGCACTCTCGTTTTCTTTACACAAGATACTATCCACATAATAAGTGAAATAAGTTTTATCAAGGAAACTAAGTGGATTTTTAAAAGATTAAAATATAATTACATATTATTAAAATTAAGATTTTAAGGGCTATTGATCAAAGTTTCGTAAATAGCTTCTAACCATCTCTTATAATAAGCAAAGAGTTGGGGGAAAATTCTGGAGAGAGCAGAAGTAAAAAATCTTAAAAATAAAAAAGACTTTACCCACCATAAAAACTGTTGAACACAGAAACATCCTCCTAATGTAACCAGCTCAGCTGAATACATTTCCATTTCATCTATCAGTGTGCCTCAAATGGGTAAACAAAATCCTGAACATAAAGGGTTTCTGATTTTCTCTTTTTCCTTTGTAATTTGTTTTTTGTACAAAATATATCCTTGACTATTCAAATACAAAATAACAATTGTAACAATAGAAGAAACTGGTCTTCTCAACATGCCATTTCTCTGATATAGTATGGACATGACAAACTGTCCAGCTGGCTCTGGAGAGCAGCCGACAACTGCCAACAATCCTAAAATAGGCCAGATACTCTGCCATTACCAAACAAAGCAGTAATTCAGAAAGCACTGGAGTGATGTAAATAAAATCTCTGACGTGCAGAAAGCAGTGGATTTAATCATGAGTGATCCCTGTACAACTGGGCAGTTCTGAAGTCACAAAATAGTCCATCCTAAAAGGTTTGCCTGATCCTAAATTTGGGACAGCGGAGGGTAAAACAGGTCCTGGAATTATAAGACCAGAACTGGCTGCTACCCTTGCTGCCTGACAGACTGAACCCTGTATAATCAAATACTCACAATTTCTCAGCTTCTAGAGACCACCATAGAGATGACAGTTCAATCCCTCAGTTTACAGGTGAGGAAACTGAGTCTCAGAGTATAAGAGACTTGTCCAAAACCACCAAAAGCTAAAATCCCCCATTCATTCAGCTCTCTAATTGGATGCAGCAACTACAATGGTAAAGAATACTGACATATTCTTTCAATAGAAGAAACTGGTCTTCATTCATTCATTCAGTATTATTTGTTGAGTGTCTACTATACGCCAAATGCAATGCTAAAAGTTTGTATCTCCCGGGAAAAAGCTGTTACATCAAATAATATTAGTATCTATTTTCTCCCTTTTACAATAAAATACTGATTGTTTCTGCCATAAAAGTAATATACGTCATTGATAGAAATTTTGCAAACTATAAAAAAAGTTGAAAGGAGGAAAAAGATCACCATTGAAAACCACTTTCAAATTTGGTATACTTCCTGCCAATCTTTTTCTTAAGTACAATTTTCATTGTCTTCCTTTTTTTCCTTCGAACCAGCTGTAATCATCCTGCACATACAATTATATATCTTACCATGTAGCATTCCTCATATTATTAAAGACTCTTTGTAATCTTCATTCTTAACAGCTGCAAAATATCCTGAAGTGGATTTAATCATCTATCCAGTGTCATTTCCACTTTGGGGAGTGTATGCATTTATAAATTATGAGCATCTTTTCAAAAAATGTTTCCCTATTTTGGAATCCTACCTTGAGAGATCAATTTATGATTGGCATGTCAATTTTCTTCATGGGAATTTAAGGCTGTTTCCTAAAATTCCCAGAATTGTGATGGGAATCAGAATGTGTGACCCTCCTGGAAACATATCATCTAATGGTTTTTTGACAGACACTTTTACTGGCACCAAGGAAATGAGAACTGCATCGTTTCTTTGTCCCTGGCCTGCCCACTGCTTTCTCATGTTCAATATTCTCAACCACTGTTTAGATTAGGCTAGTTTATGCTGCCTGTGAAATTATCTGTCGTTAGTATAGTAGAAAGTGCCCCACCTTTCCGAGTTCCTCAATGATATACTGGACACCCAGTTAAATTTAAATTTCAGATAAACAA